TAGGCTTACTCTTTATGTTGTGTGTGCCCTATTTGTAAGTAATAAATTAGCTGAAATAATTTATTAGTCATTATTTATTTCACTTTTAGAAGGATCATCACTGGGTGAATTCTCCTCACAAACTTACAAGTGTGTTTGTTTTATTCTTACCACTTTTTTACTATTGTAATTACAACACTTTCACACAAAACTAATATGACACCGCAAGAATAGCGTCACACTTTATGCCCTGAAGATGACGGAATAAAGGTCGAAACGTCGGCAAAAAAATGAAAGAGGTATTTTTATAAACTACCTCATTCTTGACCGCTCATCACGACTTCAACAAATTATTGATCACTATAAACAGAATTACGACGATGAATAACCTCGATGTCTACGAAATCAATAAGATGTCGTTACCACAATCAACAAAGATCAAATTTCTTAAATATTTATCAATAAATTGACTTTCACAAAAATTAGTCTAACGTGTACTGGTTGGTTGGTATGAGTTGAATGCCATAAAGGTGATAAATGTGATTAATGCTTGTGTTTTATCGTGACTCCAAAAAGCCCGGACTTGCGGCAAAGAAAATGGTACAAGTTTTGACTTAGGTTTCGATTACACATCGAACACCTACCGCTGCGCGGGTCCTTTATTGATCCGAGGAAGGTAATTCAGGAAAAGCAACTCTCCCCCTTATGTTTAAAAAGGCCGAAAGATTTCGTAACAGTTCAGCGTACGGATCGTAGTAGGAAATATTCCAAAATCTACGTTTCACACAAGAGAAAAAAAGAAACAACATTGAACAACTAAAAGACACCCCCCTCTGGATGACAGAGGAGGCCATTTTTTGTAGAACAGTTGTAAGCCGGCTTCCCAAATGAGCAACTTGTCAAGGGGTGAAATAAGCGCTCAGTTGAGACCTAATGTAAACTAGTAAAAACACGGATTTTCCTTTATAATCTCTAAATAAGCCAAAATCAAATATTTACGATGCAAAACAAATCGGGTTGATTGGAACAGCTAACATTGAAAAATCAATTGCTTTTTAAATATTGATTCTGTTAATGTTTCATCAGATCTAGCATAAACAAGTAATAGACTTTAGGTTTAATGAAACTTTATATAAATAATTGTCAATAAAATCTGCAGGACTACTGAACAGTTTTAAATTCAACTAATAAAAATTACTGACAATTTGGTTGGACAACTGATTGGAAATATCGTTTAAATACATACAATAATAAAAATAAAAACAAAAATCATCAGTAGAATTTCTGGGTAATATAATTATAATATATTTGTTACTGGTTGGGAATGAAAAAAAAAGTTGCAAATAAATTAATACTACGTTAAGCACCGTAATAAAAATAAAGGGGGGACACTCTCAACACGACACACAAGAATCACACATCTACACGAAAAACAAACCCTTGAGCCCTGAAGATGATTTCAATAAAGATCGAAACGTTGGTACGATAAAGAAAATGTTTTTCTAAAACCTATGTCACACCAGGCAGCATTTCACGATTTCCAAATAGTCAGTAAAAATAAAATTTTCAACGATTACACCGAAAGGTTTTCAAAAACGATTACAGAAATACCAAATGTATCAACACCAGTACATCGACTTCAGCCTCAAAGGCTACCACGAGTGGTTATTATAAAAATAAAAAATATTTTAAAGACTTAATACAACAATTTTTTTAGCGTGTAGTGTGAAAGGTCCTACAAAAGAATTACTGATTTATACAAACTCAAATCTGCACATACATGTTCACACGTATGCACGTGTACAGAGTTGTGCCTATCACTTTCGCAGTCCACCGGCAATTCCAGCTTTTATAATTTATAATAAATTACCGGCAGGCACCGAAAATCAGCCGAGAAAAATACCCCGGGTATTGGCAGTCCGGGATCAGACCTCGGTCTGGTCAGTCCAGCCACCGAGGTTTGGCTCCATCGGCTATCTACATTCATATCTTCAGTTTCAGGTCATTTCAGATCCCAACGCAATCAGTTCCTAAATCCAAACCCATTCACTCTCTCATTCACTCTTAAATACATTCTTTCTACTTTTTTATTTACATATTCACTCAGGATGGTGGAGTACTAGGTATTCCTCCGACATCTACCATGTCAGAGTACACATTCACACTCAGCACACGTTAGAGACACAAAACTATCAGTACCATAAGCAAGAAAAAATCCCTGATTCTTTCTAAAATGGGAATCATATACTCGCTGCACATACACAATTCTCATATCGAGTGGCATTGCCCTCTCTACATGAGCCAAGAATTGAACCCTTCAATTGGCCTGTTCTTAATCGTGTGAGGATGACCCTTCTTCCAATGGCCACTTATCGACAGTGCTTTTGATACCCGAGGCTTCTTCTCTGCCTTCCGATCTGTCCCATCGATCCTGCCACTTTCTTTTCATCATGTTTTTGATTGCATTTTTATTGTTAGAGGGCCCTAAAAGTTGAGGCGTCCCGGCTTTAGCCTCATGCAGCTCCCACATGTATTACCATTTTCAGGGCTCGCCAATAAAAGGAAAAATTATGCTTATTATTATTTTTTAATTCTTATCAAATAAAATTATTTTGTTGTGTTTCTTACTCAAATTACGTTATTTTTTGATGAAAATCAAATCAAACATGTTACAGATAATCATTAATTTCAACAATGGAATGCACAAGATAAAAGCCGGCGTCCCACAAGGGAGCATACTTGGTCCCCTCCATAATTCCATCTATAACGCTGATCTAACGATACACCCCAACACCATAATCACCATCTATCCTGCAAATTTGTCCTCTAACTCGATTCCTATAGAAGCTACCTCCAACATCCATGAATACCTTGAACATATCGAAATATTGTGCAAAAAGTGGATGACAAAAGTGAATGAAGAAAAAGTACTCGGTGTACGTTCACATTAAAAAAGCAGTTTTGCCCTCCACGGTACACCAACAGCATACAGATACCGACTTCAAGTCAAATACTTAGGACTATACCTATACTACTGACATGGAATCTCCACACAAGACATAAGAGACAGCAATTTAAAAGACTTGGAAAAGTAAGAAGACCTCAAGGACTGAAATCCGTCATGATCGTCAACACCAAACTAACCTCATACAAGGCTTTACTTCAACCAACACGGAGTGGAACTGCTGAGTACTAACCAATCCTTCCAATGAAATGTCTTCAGATTAATCGTCAAATTTCCTTACTATGCAACTAACACTATCTATAACCTCAGCATTCCTTTCGTCAACGACTGATCCGTTACCGATTACAAAAGTTTTGCACCAACCTTTCGATCCATCCTAATCCTTCTGCTCGAGCCTTCTCTACACATTCCTGACAAACCGCCACGTCGCCTTGAGACCTCCTTATCCCTTAATACTGAGTGCCCGCATTGGTATTTCATTGCATCATCCTTCGGGTGCAGCGCTGGTCTTAGTACCAAGTGAAAAACGTACTATAATCATATTCATTATATTTCGTGATCCGATTGACCAAATAACTTCTTTTAGTTAATTAATCTTTATGTAAGGTATTGGCTGAAAGAAAAAAAATAGCGTTACGAGTGGGATTCGAACCCACGACCTTCGGCTAAATACGCCGCTGCTCTACCACTCGAACTATCGTGACTTGATCCACTCGGACACCAATTTCCCATCTCAACCTACCTTTAGAATTTTCCCCCCTTTTTGCCATTTTTCAAATATCGTGTAATCAGGATTCGATCCTCCGTGACAAATAAAATGGCCACGGAGTGCTTTAGTGAAGATATACTTCTTTTACTTATTAAAACCATTATATTTTGGTCCGATTAACCAAATAACTTCTTTCAATTAATTAATCTTTATGTAAGGTATTGGTGAAACAAAAAAGCTAGTGTGACAAGCGGGTTTGGAACCCTCAATAATAATATTTCTAATATGTACTGATATGTATAGGCTACAAATAAAAAAAATATCAGACACATCTGCTTTATTTAATATCAAACTTAAATTTCAACTTCGCCAGCACATCAACATCACGAATATGAAGTAAGCTGACCACAAAACACTCTAGGTTTTGAACGAGTTATATTATTTATATATTTTGAAACGAATGATTTGGATGGTTAAACGTTTTATTTTTATTAGACTAATAGACGCGGCTTTAAGACTTTTGTAACACAGAGTATGTCTATTGGTAAAAAATTGACAAAAGAGATTATTGCCACAATTTGACTCATTAAGAAAATGAGAAATGGCAACAGATATTTGAAATGTGAAAAGCATAAGTAACAGTTTTATGAATTTGATATAAACAATCATTCTTTGTTAAAAGTAATTTTATTGAAAGAATGTTGAAATGATGAAATCTGTTGGATCAGATTTGCGTAGGAGAGGGTTTAAAGAAAGTTCACTGCGAGTGGGCAACAACGGCGAAACTCTATCACAGTCGTTTTACAAACTCGTTTCTTTAATTATTTAATTCAAACTCAGGGCAATTTCCAGCGGATGATTTCAATAATCGTATTGTGAAATAAGTTTAAAATGTTTTTATCTAGAAAATTGCAGATAAAGAAAATGAGTCAACGTTATAACTGAGTAAATGTTTGCGAGCAATGCGTAACAGAAGAGATTACGGTGCTTCTTCAACTCTAGCATAGATGGCGTTACAATGGCCGTCTCTATTGGGCCTGGGTCCACGGCGTTACGTTTTTTTCTGCAAATGGGGAATTTTTGAGGGGGTGTTTGTCAAAATTTCGTATTTTTGCGTTTTCCGGGTGGGCGGCCGGGAAAGGGTGGAAATCGGTAGGGGTGACTCGTGTAGGGCGGAGGTCGAGGGTCGGCCGGTAGATGACGCGGAGCAGAGAGGTAAGAGGTACTCGGTGCGGACGAGAGATGGCGGATGAGTCGCGGTGGGAGGCCGAAGGACATTCACTCATTGGCGGATAAGTAGGCCGTGACGTCACGGAAACGGAAGTTATATATACGACTCGGGTTCGCCGAGAACGGCATTCCTCCGTCGACAGTCTCTGTAGTCAGTCAGTGCCGCTCATCGCTGGGAAGAGAAAGTTGCTGTGCGTTAACGGATTACACCACCTGGTTTGAAGACTTTTTGGATTACGGGATGTGTCGAGACGTGTGAGTGGTGTCCGAAAAGAGAACTGTGTTTTTTTAGTTTTTTTGTTTTGGTTCAGTTTTTGAGAGTATCAAGATGAAAATGGCCACAGACGCACAGCGTTTAATAAGCATCTCACTGACGAAGATCGCCCAGTCGAGGGCTCAGCGGGGCGGAGTGAGCCTGCACAAGAACCTACTGGTCGCGACGGTCCTGCAGAAAGCGAGGTACATATTTATGGAAGAAGCCTATCACATGGTGCACAACCAACCTGTGGAATACCCGGCCGCCGCCGCCGCGCCCCCTGCGCCTCCGGCGGTCCAAGAGACGGCCTCTGCCCCCGCCCCCGCCCCGGCCAACCCCCTGCCGACGGCCGTCTACTACGAAGACACCCTCGTCCTCTCCCAGAACGAAGACGTCCAAGAGGAGCTGAGCTTCTTCACCCCCAGTTCCCCTGTCTGCATCAGGTGTCCTCCGGAGTGCGACAAGGAGAACCAGGCGCCTGTCGAAGCGCCCACCTACCTCGACCTCGACAACGAAAAGACGAGAAACGCGTACAAAGGGGCGGCGGCGAAAAGGCGGAGGGTCTCCGAATGGGAGACGGAAGAGGCGGTACTCAGCATCCTTCCAAAAAAGGCGAGGCGGGAAGACGAAGAGGATTCTGTTTTCGTGGACGAGTCTCTTTTAGACGAAGGTTCGACGACGATGGAGATTGACAGAATCACCAGCCTCGTATCCATCTTCAGCTTCGGCAGCCTCAACGGCGACAGCCTCGGAAAGCTCACCCGATCTTCCTCCACCCCGGATCTCTGCTCTGCTCAAGCTAAAGAAATCGACGTCCTACAACAGCGGCCGTTTCTAGCAATGACTGTATAACGAAAACTCCCCTTACCCCATAAAGTTACCCAATGTACATAAGGTATGTACAATAGTATTTAGTCGACGCTCAAGCCTTGACAACTTACTATTGCTCAAATCCTGTTTTTTCTTTTTAAAATTTTTTTTCAAAGTTTCTTTTTTGTATAAAAGGTTTTGTTTCCTCTTTTTCTTTTTTTCTATCTTCTCTCAGATTATTATATTTTTATACTGTATAAATTTACATTTTTTAAAAGATTTTATTTTTCATGTATAAAAGACTTAAGAGTTTTGGCTCTGTTTTAAGGGCCTTGGATATAATGTAAATTTGACTGTGTATATATATATTTGAAGTATATTACATTGAACATACGAAAATATAAAGATTTATAATATATATATCTATATATCTACAAAAGTGTCATGTTATTTTTTTTTACCCGCCAGTCGAATGAATCAAACAAAAGCAAGTGATATTACGACAATAGTTTTAAAAAGTATGGAAACATTCTGCGGAATTACAAAGAACGGATATAAAATAAAGGTAAGTCAATAAACATACATAAAAAACCGCTATATACATATTTTAAAGATGATTATTATAAAGAGAACAGAAATATTATATAAAACACATGAAAAATTAACGTAAAACACAGTTAACGTAAGGTAAGTCCATTGACAAATTGCTGAATATTGGAAAACTAAACTATAGAGTACAATTAATTTTTTTAATGAAAAAAGTACATTAAAAGGACACGTCAATATCTCAGAGACGAGCATTATATTGTTTTGGAAATTATTCTCAACTATCAACCAACAATTATAAGCAAATTATTTATTTTTTTAATGTTCCTACAGGATAGATCGTAGAAAGTATGTAGCTTTTTGATGATTGATATAATTTTTAATGCAATAAGTGAGAAAAGAAAAAAAATTGGAGAAACTAAGGTCTAAATTAAAATTTACATTGTAGTTAAAAATAAATTTGTGATTTATCAAAAGAGGTAAGTGTTTTTGAAGAATATGAAATTTAAGCAACTGAGCAGTAAAACAATGAACTTTAGATCAAAAATTGCACTTAAATTACTTTAATAAACGAATTATAACAATATTTATATCTGTAAAGCCGAAGGGGATCGGTTGAGAAATCGACATGCCAGGTGCAGATACCCTCCCACTTCCGGAAGTGCCTCCTGACCTAGGACGTGACGCAGAGGGGAGAGGGTTTTGTATCCCCCGTGGACTGGTGTAGTGCTGTGGAAAAGCCGCCTGTCGTAACGAGGGGTCTCATACGAGGGTTTTCTGGCCTTTTTCCCCGACGGCGGAATTGATTCAGGACTAAATTTAGACATGACGGAATGTTCGGCCTCCCCCACTTTCCTACATAGGAACGATAGCCCCTCGGCTTGTATGATTAACGTAACAGAAATTGCCCGAGGTTGTTTCAATGAACGGACACGGGTTGTTTTCCGACAGGACCTGAGCTATTTACGTGGTTTGTAGGGAAAAACACCTTCAGGACAACGATATCAACTGTTTGTACAATTTTCCAGGAAGGATGTCCCTAAAAATCATGGATTAAACTAGTAACTGACAAAATGATCATCCATTATTCCGATTTGAATTTGTCTATTGTTTGTGAAAAATGTGCTTTAAGATGCAATGATCAGAAGATGGTAAGAGGTAAGGCCCAGGTCGAAGTAGTTAGCAGTCATATAATAAAAAGTTCGACCTTTACTGCAAGAGGCAAAACAGGCATATGCCTAGGATATAGAGGTTCACTAAGACTATCATGTCGTTTACGCCAAATTGTTATTAAACGAAGGAAGCAAAAAATTAAATACGGGATAGAATCAACTAATCTTTTAATTAAGAGGACAGAAATTTGTATAATAAAGAGCGTTCACTCCAAAAAAATGTGTAAGGGTTGGATAATGATTATCCCTTGTAGACATCACGGAATTACAACCTCAATGAAACAGTTTGGTTTAGATCAGTAATTCTAGAAGCAGTAAGTAGGATACAGAAGAAAGGTACAGGGACTTTTGGTTTTGCCAAGGTTGTGCCAGGAGTTGATACAAAATATTCATCCTTTTAGGCTTCTGATTATTGGTTTTGTCGATTGATTTTATGCAAGTAATTGATCTGAGTTGATTGAAAAGAATTCTGTTGTTGTTGTTGTACATTGCTACATCCGGCAGTATTTATGCTATTTCGCCATTGTCAGTGTATGTCCGCATGCTTCTCTCGCGCTAGTCGCTTGTAGGCTCCGGTAAAAAAATCTCACATTGTTATCAATGAAATCAGAATAATTTTTGGTCCTGGTTACCTCCCCTTTTAGGAATAGTCGGTTTTGGGTTGGATTGAATAGGTAGACCATCGGACCTGTGCTGCCGGTAATCATGTTAACCGTGTTCCTGGTTTGGAAAAGCATGCGAATACGAATACCCAGTAATTCTAATGCATATCAGTTTCCCAATTATATTGGTGTAGTGGTCTGAATATATGTTGCCCCTAAGAGTATCGATATAACCTCACACTTTTTCTGGCATGACCCCTTCCATCCTTTGATACTACTATTATATCAGCAGGGTTCGTTCGATCAAGATCAAAATTCACCATTGTCGTAGCGAAGACTTTTACTGAAGAAGGATCGACTTAGAAGATGGGACCTCTGATGCCATTCGGGTTCCAAGCTGAACTTTTTGGATTATCGTTAACCAGCCGTCTAATAATCTTTGGTGCGGGTTCTCTAGGTAGTCGACACTCTTGGATGCTGCACACAAAATATGTGGTTCGGCCTTGGTGCATTGCTTGTGAACTGGTTCACAAAGAACAAAAATTTGACAAACTAAGGGGTGAGAACCTAAAACCACCATTTTGCACTCATATTCGTGTATGTAGTCATCGTTATTCAAAGCGCTGTAAAGTATGAAGCATCTAAGCTCTCTCCTTCTGCTCATTTTTCTACGAATTTTCAGATATTTTGTATTGATCAGAGCTGATTCGGCTACAGAACTGTTCATTGAATGACGCAGTATCAGTCAGTTATAATGCCACCGTCTTGAGAACCTTGCGTGGTCAGAATATCGAAGTATGGTTCCGAAAAGTCATGTGTTTTAGTTTTATGCGGTGAAAATTTTGAAGAATATTTTGGAATATCATTTGTTGAGATGTTTACGACATTTGGTTTAAGAAATGTCTTAGAATGAACATATGAATTTGAAAGATTGCTTAATAGAATTACCAACAAAATTGCTGCTGTTCGGTAAGGTGGTAAAGTAAAAAAAAGCCACTGAGGACAATGATTGATAGGCGTACAATTTAATCCGTCACGTGCGATATTCTTCACGTCTACGTCCAAGTTTTTTTCCCAATGAGCCAGCCCTAGCCAATTTTAAAGCTTTTTTTCTTCCAAATACAAAATTTGTTGACCAGTTTTTCCAAGACACTAACTGTCACAAAGACGTGTCGTGTCATAAGGCCACTACCACGCTTTCTCGGTCGATATTTTTGAAAAGGTCTAGATGAACTACATGCTCGAACATCCAGCGAACTAAGAAGTAAATAATATTGTCCAGATTAAATGTTACACCTGTGTTAACAGGTGCTCAAGAGGGTTTCACAGACTCACACCCGGCGCACGAACAAGAGTTGGTCTCCATGTCCTAATGTACCATATGTAATTAAAACATTTTACAACATAGCCTTGTTCATTAATGTTTAACATGCACTTACGATCAGAAATAAATTAACATCACGTCAAGGAAGATATTTGAATTTGTACAATCAAGAAGATGTGTGACAACAAATTATACAGCATATAAATGTTTTATCTTGACTAATGCTGTATGAAATTCAAATCAAGACTGCTTAGTTTTTAGGTTAAAAATCCGAAATAAGTGTGTATTTTCTAAGCTGAATTTATTCATAATTCTACGCGAATTAACGAAACCCGGCCCGAAGTTTTCCTCTTGTTGAAAACACGAAAGTGGAACGGAAAACGGCAAGTTTGACTTTCAGTTTTCATTTAAATATTTAAATAAGTGGAAAGGTTAATTAAAGGAGTCCTGTAAGCTTGACTACAGCGAGCAAAAATGCGTCTGACAGCTATTTTATTACGCAAGGAGCACAAAAGCAAACGTAGCACAATTGTGTAACGGAAAACGGGCCGAAACTCCTCTCTTCGAATTAATAAAATGTTCGAACGCGAATTTCTTTTTCCATTGTTACCGGATTTTTTTTTCATTGAAAAGGACAGATATTTTAAAAATAAAAATTCCCCTCGTTTCTTTATTTTTGAAGGTGTATTTTTGAAGCAATTCTTAAAAAGAATTAACTTTAAACTATTAAAAATACTTTGTTGAAGTCGTGAGGAACGGTCAAGAATGAGGTAGTTTAGAAAAACATCTTTTTATTTTTTTTGCCGACGTTTCGACCTTTATTCGGGTCATCTTCTGGGCATAAAGTGTGGTGCTATTCTTGTGGTGTCATATTAGTGTTGTGTGAAATGGCCGTGAGAACACTTCACAAATTCTCACAAACTTGCAAGTGTTTATTCTTACCGCTTTTTTATTATTGTAATTACTTACAACACTTTCACACCAAACCAATGACACCACAACGATAGCACCACACCTTTATGCTCTGAAGTTGATCCGAATAAAGGTGTTAACGTCGGCAAAAAATGAAAAAAAAAACACATTTTTTATAAAATAAATAAACAAGTATATATACGTATAACGGTGATATCAATACATCGGAGGAAAAAAGTGGTAGCTTGTGGATGGCATAGGGGATGGTGGAGGGTCTGAGAGCTTCGGACAAGGGTGGTAATGGTCTAGATAGGGCGCGCTCCTTCTGGATTGGCAACCATCAGACCTTGGATTGAACAGGGACACATGCTTCTGAACAATTCATGTAAGTTATTTGTCATAATGTAACACAAAGATGAGATGATGGTGTTTTATTGGCTTTGTGTGAGTATTGTAAGTAATTACAATAGTAAAAAAGCGGTAAGAATAAAACAAACACACTTGTAAGTTTGTGAGGAGAATTCTCCCAGTGATGAACCTCCTAAAAGTGCCCTGAAGATGACTCGAATAAAGGTCGAAACATCGGCAAAAAATAAAAAAGTGTTTTTCTAATTTACCTCATTTTTGACCGCTCCTCACGAATTCAATAAATTATGAAACAACAGGTCACTAAGAAACACACACTAAAAGTACTGCTTGATATTCGAAAAAAAAATCCGAATACCAAAGCACAAAACTACCCAGTATAAAGTTTTAATAAAACTTGGAATATTCTGAAAACGCCAAAGACTTGAAAGTAACTTGAACAACTAGAAAGGGTTGAGACTTAATCCCTCAACCTTTCATTTGACTTTCACCATTCGA